ATGAGTGAATTTTATGTTTACAAACTACAGTTCTTCACAGAGAACATAGGAACAGGAAAAAGTAAGTGAAGGCTTACATTAATAAACAATTTAAAAAAGATTAAGAGTTCATGTTTTGTTTGGACTCTTGCCTTGTTTTTACTATGGCAGATAATGGCTAACACTTATTGATGGTAACATGTGCCAAGCAGCATTCTAAACTCTTTTCTTGTTTTAACTCATCTAATTCCTACAAAGTAGGTAATAGTGCTAACCCCGTTTTGTAAATAAAGAAACTGCACAGAGAAATAAAGCAGTTTGCTTAAGATCTCAAGCTAGTAGATCTGGAATTCAAACCCTCCAGTTGCAGCTCTTAGGTTGATAAGCACTCTTCAGTAACTGCTCCCCAATTCCGACTCTTGTGCTTTGCTGTAGAACCATCTCCAACTCCTAGCTCCTGCCCAGTGCTGTGCCATCCTTACAATCTTGACTCCTGTTAGTTTATGAAATTTAAGTTTTCCAGTGACTTGGTGAGCTCCAGTATCCTGTACGTCCATCACCTCAGCTACTTCATTCTTCTTAAGCTAATTTTGCCACCTACGTTTTGGCACCTATGTATGAAAGTTGTGGAAAGTTTCCTGGTGATCTCAGTGTCCTCATGATTGTAAAATCATATAATTTCTTAAAGCTAATCAGACCAATACTTGAAGACTAGAGTTCAGGAATTACTCCATTTCCTTCAAGTGACCTTTTTTTCTTTTTCTTTTTTTTTTATAACAAATGACCATTTTTAAAGACAATGGGTTTTTGAAGCAGACCTGCAAGCAGTACAAGAGAACAGACTTTTCTTTACTTAGATCAGCAGACTGTTAAATCTTTGCTACAATCCCAAGCGCATGCAGTTTGAATCCACCAGCTGCTCCATGGGAGAAGGATGGGCATCCTCCTCCTGAGTGGCTTACTGCCACTGAAAACACACTGGAGGGTCAGCTGTGGGTCATTTCTGACTTGACGGTACTCAACACCGACATAGTCTTGGTAAAGTTAGTGCGTGGACTTCACCCCACCCCCACCCCCGAGTGTGGGATTCATGTGGCCTCATGGAAGATGCCTATGGTATCCAGTTTAGAAATATGATACTAGCTGTATTGTGTTGGTGTTAGGAGCTGTCTTGTTCTGGTGCATAGCAACCTTTTGTACAACAGAACCAAACGTTACCCAATATTGAGTCGTCCTCACAACCACTGCTGTGCTTGAACCCACTGTTGGAGCCACTGTGTCCATCCAGACGGGCAGCTCCTCCCAACAAGCTTTAAAGCCTCTGGACCAGTGGAGAGCCACCATGAGTTAGAATCACCTCACAGGAAGAGGGTTTATCTGTACTTTAAAACCTCAAATTTAAATGTTGTAAAGTGAGAGCTGACTCAGAGCTGACCGGCCAGCACATTTTCAGGAGGCTCTAAATCCTACAGGAAGAGATAGCCCATCTTGGTCCTGCCGGGCCAGTGGTAGAGTGAAGCCACCAGAGTGGCTGCCTTTGGATTGGCAGCTCAGCTCCCAAACAGAGGACAGCACCAAACTTCCCTGAGCTGGATTATAGATACCAAAAATGTAATCCTTTCTTTCTGAGTGCTCTTGGTTTACAGACACTCCCATCATGTTTACTTCTCTGTCGTAGATACTTTGTAAGCACATAAGAGTGAGGAGGAGAAAGATACATGTTGCACTGTTTTATTTCAGATCAGTTGATAACAAACTTCAAGTTTAATGTGTTCATGCTTGTTGATAGGTGCCATTGAATCACGAATGACTCCTAGCAACCCTTTGAACAGTAGAACTGAACCCTTTCCTATCCTGTGCCATCTTTGTCATCTCTGACACATTTGAGCTCATGGTCGCTGTCACTATGTCAGTCTATATGATTGAAAATCATCTTCTCTTTTACTGACCCTTCACCTTTCCAAATATACTATCCCTTTCCAAGGAATAGCCCCTTCTAGCAATATGCTAAAATCTGCTGTCAGAAACCTCTCTAGAGTACTGAAAAGCAGCGATGTTAGTCTAGAGACTAAGGTGCACCTAATTCAGGCCATGGCCTTCACAGTTACTTGCTATGCGTCAGAGAGCTGGACAATGACTTAAGAATGACAGAATAAGTATTGATGCCTTCTAATTGTGATGCTAGAGGAAAACAAATGGGTCTGTCTTGGAGTAGGTGAAACCAACTTTCTCCTTGGAGGTTAGGATTTTGAAGCTCTGTCTCACATACTTTGGGCACATGGGCAGGAGAGACTAGTCCTTTTTTTAAAATTTTATTAATTTTAAGGAAAATTTACACAGATTTTGGATTTCCATTCATTCATTGTTGCACTTTTCTCCCTGCCCGCCCTCCCCCCAGTTCACTCCTCTCTTTGAAAAGTAAAAGAAAAATTCTTTCATTGGTATACAATCTTCCTGCACCCACCCCACCCCCACCCCCCCGAGTACACTCCACTATGCAACCTTAATTCTGAACCCCTGTGTTAGCCACAATGAGAGACCAGTCCTTGAAGGACATCATGCTCAGAAGGGTGGAGGGACAGCGCAGGAGAGGAAGACCTTGGATGAGATGAATTAATGCAGTCACTGGGGTTATTGGTGTTTGGTGTGTCAGAATTAGTGAAACTGGCTCAAAACAGGGCAGGATTCAGAGCTGCTGTACATAAGGTCACTATGGGACGCAGGTGACTCGACGGCACATAATAACAACATGCCCACCAAAGTATGTGAGACAAAGCTTTGCCATCCTTGCCTCTGAAGAGCATTCTAACTACACTTTCTCCAAGATACACCTGTTCTTTTGTCAGTCCAAGGAGTATTCAGTACTCCATTCTAACACCACAGCTGAAAAGCATTGATGATGATTCTGTTGTCTTTATTCATTGTCTAGCTCTCAGTCCATAGCAAGTGATTGAAAAGACTGTGGCCAGAATCGAGCATCTTAAACTGGCACCTCATTACTTTGGAGAAGTCCTTAAAAGACTTTCCCAGTTTAATCCATCTTTGATTTCTTGACTGCTGATACCAACAGTGATGTTTGTGGATCCAAGGAAGATGAAATTGTTGTCAGTTTCAATTTTTTTTTTTCCATCTCATGATGTCACCTATTGGCCCGATGGTGAGAATTTTCATCATCTTAATGTTGAGATGTACTCCATACTGAAAGCTGTATTCTTTAAACTTCTGCAGCAAGTGTTTTAAATCTTATTTTCAGCAAACAAGGTTGTGTTGTGTCATCTGCATAGGTTGTTCATTGAAGAGCCTTCCTCTGGGTTGATGCCACATTCTTTTTCATAGAGTTCAGTTTCTCGAATGATTTGCTGGAACATTCAGATTCAGTAGGTATGGAGAAAGGATACAATCATCATGCACACCTTTCCTGATTTTAAACCATGTTCAGACAACAGCCTCTTGGTCTAGGTACAGGTTTTATATAAGCATAATTCAGTGTTTGGAGAATTCCCATTCTGCACAGTTTTACTCCTAGTTTGTTATGATCCACACAGTCAGATGCCTTTTTATAGTCAATTAAGCACAAAAAGACATTCTTCTGGTATTCTCTGCTTTCTGCCAAGGTCCATCTGATATCATTTAACACTTTCCTACTAAATACAAAGTTTATATGTGTTTATGTAACTGTATTATCAAGTAAATATAGAGTATAAGCTCCATCTCACATACTTTGGACATGTGGTCAGGAGAGACTGGTCCTTGGAGAGGACATCATGTTTGGAAGAGTGGAGGGACAGCACAATAGAGGGCGACCCTGGGTGAGATGGATTGATGCAGTAATTGGAGCAGTGGGGCTTGGGTGTCACAATTAGTGAGACTGGCTCAGCACGGGGAACGATTCAGAGCTGCTGTAAATAGGGTTGCTATACGTCTTAGGCGACTCAACAGCACATAACAAAAATATACTATATTGGTTGTATTTTATTGAAACCTCATGTTTAGAGTCAACAAGACCTTCGGGAGGGCCTTTGTATTTAAAAGTCAGTTATTAAATTTTGGAGGAACATTCTTCTGAGTGGTACAGCACACTCTGTCAATATGTGTACTGAGGTAACCTGGGGTTGCTGTGATGCTGAACCTTGTACCATTGGGGTGTCAAATGCCATAAAGGTTACCCATGGTGGGACAGTGTTTGGTGGAGCTCCCAGTTTAAGACAGGTTTGGAAGCAGGAGTGGCATCTACTTCCTAAACAACATGCCTCTGGAAACTATGAACTTTGATAAATGACAATAGTTATGGAAAGGCTTTAGACCTTTTGTTCATAGGGTCATTATGCACGTCTCAACAGCTATCAACAGCATAACAGTACTTAAATCTATGTCATAAATAATACTTCTTTAAGAATATGAGATTCTTTTTCGTGTGATTTATGATTGCACAGATAGCTAGGTAACATTTGAGGGAAGTGTTTACCTTTTACAATTTTGGATATTGAATTCTGCAGTCTCTTGGGTGCTTTCAGGAGTAAAATGAGAGAGCAATCTTGTTTCTAAACTCATGTAGGGATTTTCTCATTGGGTTGGCTAGAGACATAGCCTTCAAAGCATAGTTCTTTGCAGGTTGCTGACTACAGAAGTCATGGTACAGGTAAGGTACTTGGCTTCCTCCCCCTCCCCCCTTTGTGGTTTCATTTTAAGCTGTCAGTATGGTTGGTTTTAACTGAGCAGTAGTAATAAGACCTTTTTTGCCAAAGTTTATTGCAGTAAATCTGATATTGTGCAACACGTCAGAGATTGTAGTTTGATTCTTACAGAAAGAAAACAGCATTTGTTAATATGTCTGTTACAAGTAGTTATAGTTTAATGTTTGCTTTTGCTGGGGCTTGTTTTGATTCATCATTTTTATTTGATCTACTAGCAACCATCTGTTAGTTATAATTTAACTTTCAAGGCTATATGTAATTTGGTTTTTGTTAATGAAGTACCATAAACGACAGCATTATGAAGCTTTTTTCTTTTAATCTTGAAAGGAAAAAAATCCCTATCTAAAAAAGCAATTACAAAGAAGAGGAAAGCGGTCACAAAGGCGCCTCCTGTGCCAGAATTCCAGGTAAATGTTTCAGCCTTGTTTAGATTTTTTTTTTTTTTTTGCTTAATTTTTAAAAAATTCTCTTTCTGTCCTTGAGAGATTAGCTGAATTTCAAGAAACTGTATCATGTACTTTTCATGAAATGTTTTCAACTCTGACTTTTTCCCTGCAAATGAAGGCAAAGTTAAGATTAAATCTGCTAGTATTTTACAATTCTTTATTTTTACTTCTTGATAGTAAATAATCTGTCATTTCTTATAACCCAAACTAAGTATTGTATATAGAAATATTTTGATGTCAGTATTTATAAGAGCACACATATAATGAAAATCTACCAGATGATTTATACATGATAATATTGTATAATTAATCCATTTTCATTTCTTTGGATACTAAAGAAATGTTGATTTATTAATTTTAAAAAACAATGTTTTTACTCTTAGCTATATAAGAACATCAGACAAAATATAAAAAGGTTAATTGAAATGGTCTCTAAACATTTCTGAAAATTGTATATACTGCCATACTTCATAATTGTGAAAAGAGTTTTGTTTTTCTCTGATAATAATAAGCAGAGAACCATAATCCAACCCATTTATACTGTTTCCTATTTCATAAAAGATACTCGTTCTTTAACAAATGACTCTTAAAAATGTGTTTTTATTAGTATAACCTATCTGAATTTAGGTATACACTCTCTCAAAAATTTTGTAAGTTAATATTTAAATGACAAAAGATTAAAAATTGTGTTTAAAATTTCTGAGTCTTAAGTTAAAAAAAGAAAATAACAGAATAATAGCTATGAAATAATGACAATTATGTGAGTTTAATAGCTGCTTCTATCCAGAACGATGAACACATTTATTTTTAGTAAAAATAGTATTTTTTAAAGTTTTTTTTCCTGGATGTTACTAATTGGTAAAATTTTCTTTTTTTTTTGAATCAGTAGAGAAAAGATAGTTCTTTTTCTAGGTCTTTTAGAATAGAATCATTTTAATGACAGTTTTAGGATGAATCACAAGCATATCTTTCAACAAACTTCTTTTATATAAAGTATGACTGGTTCCAACACAGTCAGCAAAAGATGTGACTCTCGTACTGAGACCTTTGTCCCATTGCTTGTGTGTGTTATTTAGTGCTGTACTCTCATGCTAGCTGGCCTTGGCTAGTTCCCCCAGACCCTCAAAGAGTTAGTCTTGGAAAAAGATTTCAGAACTATTTCTAGATGGACTTTAACATGTAATAAGTGACATAGTATGTTTAAAATTGCAAATAGTGATTTGTGAGGCATAAAATCAGTTGACTCTATTACATGACCACTACTTGTTCAGGGAACACTGGTGGCCTGGTAGTAAGAAGCCATCATGCAGTCCCAGAGGCATGCGGTTTGAATCCACCAGCTGCTCCTCAGGAGAAAGATGGGAAGTCTTCTCTCGTGTGATTTACTGTCTCTAAAAATCCTCTGGAGTATCAGCCGTGGGCACATAAGAAGAACTTCTTTTAAAGGGAACTCTGGTGGCCTAGTGGCTTCAAAATATAAGGTTAAACATTGTTCCATAAACCTTTGTTTGCATCATGTATTGACTTCCATTGTTTGTGGATCAGGGGTAAAAATGTTTGGAAAACATACATAGTCTTAAATGATGCTCTTGGTCAGTTCCTCATCATTTAATTGCTATTCTCAGGAACTTAAAGTGAAAGGTATTTATTTTACCAGGCTAAGCTTTTAAAACAAAGATCCCTTCCTGGTTCTTAAACCCCTAGTAGATGTTTGTCTCAGTGTCTCTATCAAGATGTGTGGGACTGAGTCATGAAAGCAGTGATTTCTTCTTTCTAGGTTGTTACTGTATTGATGCATACTGTGTTGTTTGTTACTCATAAAGTTGATAAGTTTCTCAGAGAATAGATAATTTGCTTCAAATAAGTAATAAAGTAGGTGAATAGGCAGTATTGGTTATTAGTTACTTCGTTGTTAAATGCAGAACTTAAAAAGAGTTTTACCTCTCAAATATTCATTGATGTAGACTTTATGTCTTGAATTATTTGTAAGCCCCACACATGTAAAAAGAGTATTTGTATAAGTGTGTTTATTTCCTTTCCAAAAGTTTTGCAGAATAAGATATTTAGTACTTTAAATTTTGCAGATAGTTGTTGTTTTAAATATTACATCCTAGTATTAAACATAAAAAATGCCTTACAGATATTTTTACCTGGAAGATTTTTAATATTATTTATTCTAAAATATCTTACACTAAAAATAGTGAAACTCTTGTTGAGCAGATGTTAAACCCCTTTTGCAAAACTTGAACTGTTTGCCAAAGAATTGCACAGTGAAGCATGCCTATACAGAAACTAACTCAAAGACGAAATTACAAAGTTTCCTTTTTAAAAAATCCTAATGAAATTTGAAAAATGAACCCTGTTTAATCTCAGTTACCTTTTAATTTAGTGTGTTGACTTATTTAAATTTAGAAAACTTGCCCACATGCTTGTTTCAGGAATACTGTTTTATTTATATTCACATTTAGTATGTTTACCTAAATGTAAGAAAATAATCCTGCCTCAATTTAGAGTATGCACTGTTGACAGTCAGAAAGTGAATTTCATTTATGATGTGTATCATAAAAAGGACCAACTCTGTCCTTTTGTCGCCTAAGAATTGTGTGAGTGGTTCTCAGATTTTAGACATTGAGAAAGTATTCAAGTTCTTTTATTAAAAATGAGGGTTGCTTGCCAGTAGTCTGTGTAATGGTTAGGCACATGGCTATTGGAATCAGGCAAATGGGAAACAGATCTGAGCTCTGTCACTTACTAAGTTTGTAACCTGGGCTAAAATGATTTAGTCTGTATGCTTCTAATTATTCACCTGTGTGATAAGAAAAATAGTACCTACCTTATAGGATAGTTGTGAAGATTAAATTCTATTCTTTTGGGAGGGTTATTGTTTATCATGTTTTGTTTTTGTTTGGGTCCCTCTGCAAGGCTTGCCACCTACATCTAATCAAAGTAGACCTTGGACTTCACTTTGAAAAATGTAGTTAGGAGTAGAATAATTAAGAATTTGCTTCTAAACATTTGTTGTTGTTATTGAACTCTACTGCTTTGCCCAGCTAATTAAAATTTTTAAATAAATCTTGAATTTAGTCTTAATTGAAAGTTGACATGATTAATCCTCTAATACTACTTATGAAATGAAAGTTAGAAGCTAGGCTTAACCCTCTTTTAGTTTGCATGGGTTATACAGTTGGCTAAGGGTAGATTGTTGTCCAGGCAGCGATAATTGGGGGGGATAATTGAGAAATAATTTTGCTTTGAATGTTTACCATATTGATGATATAAACTCACTTATGAGTATTGTAGGAACCAAATTATTATTTTCTTTTTCATAATCCGTTACGGAATACAGTGTAAGTGCTGTACTCTTAGGCTGAAAATTGAATGTCATTTTTCTTAATATTGCAATAATATTTTAATTTATTTAGTACTTAACAGAGGGATCTAATATTACAGGAAATCTGGTTTGGTGCATACTTACAATAGAGGTGTAAAATTAGTATTTTTAAAATTTGGTAAGTCATTTCTCAATAAAATGAGTTTTAAAAAGTAATTTAAGAGCCTCGCTGCCATGATTTTGCTTTTAATTAGTAGCCACAGTCTTTCGTGCAATGCATACTTAACCCGTTAGAGACGCCTGGTTTATCCTAAAGGCTACTTGCAAGGAAACCTCAGAATCTAGGTGCTGACAAAGACTCCGCATGAATTCACTGATCTTTCACATAACTCTGGGAAAAGAAACAATGCAAAACTCAGTATGCCCCTTTATCTCTCCATTTAACCAGTGCAGAAACTGCAGGCTAAGAACGTACTACTCTCTAGAAACTTCACGATGTTAAGGTTCTCTTGATTAAGTAGCTATTATTTTCACTTCCTCAATTTTTGTTTGACAGTTAGTAGCATGGATTATTCTTTTCTCATCAAAGTTTTTTAATAATACTTTAAGGACTCAATGTAAATGAGTATGATTCATCTTGTTTTAGAATTTTTACCTTTTTTTTTTACCTTTTTACTTCTCTGCATTTTCTTCACTTTATTTTTAAATTTTTTTTTAATACTGTATTTATGCTTGCATGCTACTTTATATTCTTTTTGGAAGATGATGACATGCACAGCATAATTTCTTGCTTGAAGTAGTGATAAAGTAAGGATTTATTAGATCATTTTTCTGAGAAGGTATCATGGAGTTTTAAAATATCTCAACAGGGTCTTTCCTCACTTCCCATGACCTCATATGTGTATTTCTGCTTTAGGAGCTTAGCTTTAATATTTACATTTGATTGAAAAGCCATGAAAGCTTAGATAGAATTTGAATCATAAAACCAGAGTACATATTTGCTGATGGCTGTTGGAATGCTTCATTGTTTTATTTAGAAGGACCTCATAAAGACTGTGATGTGGTAGAAAGTACTGCACCAGAAGTAAGAACGCTGAGCTCTGGGGTTTGCTTTCTGTGAGTGATCCTGAGTCACGTTCCTCTTAACTGTCCTAACTGGCTCATATGTAGAATGGAGATACATGTTTCTAGCATAGCAGGGTATGGACCAAATTGTACATTTTTGGTTTCTTTCAGCTCTTAAGATATGATTTTGTGGCCCGTCCATGGGTTGTGACAAGTGAAAGGTTAACTAACTTGAGGGACGGCCTTACAGAGGTTCTTCCTGGGGGATAAAACTCTTCTTGGAACCTCTGCAGTGTGACTGAAACCCCCTCCTGAGTGTTGGCAGTGGCAAGACTGTAATCCGAACTTCTGGGGAGCTTTCCTTCTCACCCCTGGGGGCCCTGGGCCTCAGAATGTTTTTCAAAATCAAGGTAATGAGAAGGAGGTTTAATAAGATATTTTGCTTTGCTTTAAAAAAATGTTCTCCTTATTAAGGTGAGCCTTACTTACTGGATTGATTCTGTTTTTAAAGTACCATTAGAAACTGAATTAATTATAAGGCTGTGTATATGCCTGATTTTGTAATATAAGAGTATATATGACCAGTAGTGTTGGCATAGACCAGGATATTTTTCTTTTGATATCAGTAACAAAATTGGAATAGTATTTCTGTGTAGAAATTTTTTTAATAGCTTGATTTAACTGTCACTCACTCTTTCTCTCCCTCTCTCTTTCTCTCACACACACTCTCTCACATTCTCTCTCTTTATTTCTCTCTTCCTCACTCACTCACTCACTCACTCACTCACTCACTCACTCACTCACTCACATCAGGTCTATGCCATAAAAGAATGTGAATTTGTTAATGTAGATGTTAAGTCACTTTAATACGGTTTCAGAGTAAATATTGCAGAAAATATTTTGACCATCAGAGTCAGTGAAATTTGTATTTAAGCATCATACTATTTAAAGAATGTGTCTTTCATTATGCATTTAATTCAATAAGTCATCTGCTTGAAATGAAATATCTTAATTTTCATATTCATAATACCATAGTGTTAACAGCCACACTGATGTGTAATTCACAATAACTGGATAAATTACTTGTCAGAAAGGTATAATCTGCAGACTATGCCTAGGAACTTGTTAGAGATGCAGAGTCTGAGGCCACGCCTCAGACTGACTGCATCTTAAGCCATCAAGGTGACTTTTCTGCCCCTTAAAGCTGCAGAAGCACTGATTTAGGATGACTCTCTGACAACCCCACTTGGAAATACTGCTTTCATATTGCACTTAAACAGTGAGAATCATAAAAATTTTACCTTAGAATGATGCCATTTATTCCTTTAATTGGACTATTAGATATATATTGATTTCATGACTAATTGATAATTGAAATTTTAAATTTTTAGTGTATGTTCACTTGTAAGTGTCTTTGTTTTCCATGTTCCTGTGGGTTTCTACAATCTCCATGTAAAATATACCCTGGTTCTTCATCTAATGACATCTAAGATGCAAGGGAATATTTCTTGACATTTTACTGTATATGCAAATGAGATGTCTGTGCTAAATAATTATGAACTAGTACACCAAGTTCATTGTATACGTAACCCATGTGTAAGTTCTGACACTGGTAAGTTTTACCATGGTAGTCATAATAGCAAATACTATGCACTACAGGGAGTTGAATACTTACCAAGAATCTAATAAAAACTAGTCTGAGACCAACATTGTTTTAAGGCTTTGAGCTGTAGTAAAACCAGCAAAAACTAGAGCCTGGAAGAAAAGTCAGATGTCTTACAGATAGAAAGCAATAGAAAAGTGCTAAGGTGTACCCTGCCAAGAGTGAAAAACATGTGGAACCCGTGGAAAATTATGCTGTCCCATTGAGTTGTACTCTGTAGGTTTTACTGGATGGCATTTAAATGGTTGGCTAGTCAGTCTCCTGGTTGACTATCAGGAGTTCTTTTATAACTCCACATTTAGCAAGTAGGAATGTGTAGTGTTTTATTAGTTACATTGTCCCACTACATTATTATTCTCTGCTTTCTATGCTAAAATTGCATTATTTGCATTGCTTACTCTTCTTACCATATTAATTCTGTGAGCCTGAAGTTATATAGATATTTCTAGTAAGTATTTAGGGAGCTCTGGTGGCTTAGTGGTAAGGAATTGACGCTACCAACCCCTTACTCAGGCGTTCTCCTCCCATGCAATTTATACCCTCAGAAAACTCACTGGAGGATCAGCTATGAGTCAGTTACTACTCCATAGTACATCACAGCACTAAATAATTGTTAATACTAATTAAAATTTATATATCTTTGAGGTATTTTTTTAAATTTCTGTTAACAGTACTAGAATTTTTTCACTCAGAAGCAGGTTCATTGACCTCCTCCATATTTCCTTTCCAGGAGGAAGGTCCGTCCCATCTCTGGGACACAACTTTCCTCTAAATCTATCTTACTTTTAACTTAAAAAACCCAAAATTGTCAAGTACATAGCAGTCAGCAGTCGTTTCACATATTTCAAGTTAAAGAGCTTTTGAGGGACTCCCTGTTCTCCATTTTTGTGAATTAGTAAGTGGTCACTAGGAATGATCTTACCCACTCTTCATTTTTTATTTGATTTATTTTAATAGAAGAAAATAAATGTCTTTGGGGAACACAGTGTCATTATATAATGAAATAAATGAACATAATATAAAGCTGATAAAAATTGTGACTGCCTTTGTTAAGTACAGTATGCTTTTTACAATTTTCACACAGTATAAGCATTGCAGTAAGACTTAGCATTAAACTTGTCATCTGTATATAAATAGTTTTTATTTTAGGAATCTTGTAAAATGTTTAAACATTTTAAGGAAAAACAGTAAACACAATTTAACTTCTTCACAAGATCTAAACTGTATTTGATATTTTTGTTATTGGCAAATACTGCACAGCTTAAAACTTAGCAAACCAAGCTGATTTCATTATTAACAGCTCAGAGCCAGTTGTTTAGGCTCTCTGTTAACACTACTGATTAAAGTGAGCCACATAATTATGAGCAGAAATGTATGCTGTTAATGGAGGTGAATTAAATTTATAACACTCACATTAAGAAAGAGTATTGAATTCCATTTATGCCTTTACGTATCTTACATAGAGTTGGACTTCCTTATTAGCAACTCCAACAGTAAGAACTGAGGTTTGTTGAACTGTGTAGGTAATAAACCAGAGGAAGGAACAGCAGTTCTCCAGGTGCACGTACCTCCTAGCCGACGGCCTGCCGGTGTAGAGTTTTTATGGGGCAATTCAATAACCTGTGAAATCTAGGGCAAGTTTCCAGATCTTTGTCATTCTGGGCTGAAAGCTCCTAATGCAAAGGAAGTGCCTAGGTTAGAAAACCAACTAAGGGGTGGGTGTGGGCCCAAACCACCGCTGAGACATGTCTTCTTCTTCTTCTCTATTAAGCCTGAAGTTCATACAAAGATCTGCTTCAATACAAACCAGAGCTATCCTTATTTTTTGCTATTACAAAGAAAAATTATCATTTGTTAATTCAGTGTGTGTTGAAACAACTTCTGTTTACCACATTTTGGGTGTTTTATATTATGTGTTATCAAGCTGTGTTTTTGTGTTTTATTTTAGCTTATTTGCACTAATCTTGATGAACTCAGGGAATTAATCACAAAAATCGAGAATGAACTCAAAGATCTGGAAAACAATAGAAAAAAATCGGTAGGTGTTGATCCAAAAGTTCTATGTGTTATTGTCAGCATTAAAGCTTATTCCTGCGGTTTTTCTAAAGCTTTTAAAAACTTTTATTCTCTTAAATTATGTGGAAATTTGAAATGAAAAATGGAAACTTTGTTTCTCTTTCTCCTGTGTGGTTACGTTTCATTTTTTTAGTTGATACAAAAGAATGTCAGGGACAAACAAATTTATTCCTTTTGTTTGCCTGCTTTATATCAGGTATAGTTTTAGATATTGATATACTGGTTGGTGGTTTTCTGACTGGTAGTTTAGGGAAATGTTTGCAGATATTCTTAATGAGTATATGCTTTCAATGGAAGTTCATTGCTTTGTAATCTAAAACCTTAGATGTAACATAATTATTTAACAGATGTGAATGGTTTAATCTTACCTCAGTCATTTTTTTGATACATTCTTGGCAGTATAGCTTTTTAAAGAACCTTTATCCAACAGAAAAAGTTTTTTAGTTTCTTTTTTAATTGACTACATATTCTAAATTAATAATTCATCTGTACCTTTATTTTCAAGTTTGTTTTGGTTTATAGGTTTTTAATTTTGGCTTTTGAAATTGTCCTAAATCTTAGAATAACAAGATACTGTTTATTCACTTACTACTTGGTGAAACATTCAATTATGTTAGTTAACCATTTACTAACACCCAGCGAACTGGAATTCATAGTGTGCTTGTATCACAGATTTAAAATGCATTGCACCCCAATAAATAAATGGAGAAGTCTGTGGGCACCGAGCAAAATCTATAATAATAGTAAAATCCTCTTGTAAAATCCTCTTTGTCTTATGTTTAAGGGTTGTATGCAGTTATGCTGAGATCTTACTCAGTCTCTCATCTAGAATCATGTAGACAACAAAGCTGATAATTCAGCAAGCTTGGTCTCAGCAAGTTTATAGTAGCCATTATGTGTGTTCTTAGGAAAGGCGTACTGGTTGCACTCTGAAGGACAAGACTTAAGTTGAGTAAAAGCACAGCCCTCTAAGGTATTTAATACTTGGGTTGGAAAAGCATTAAGAATTCTAGAATTATCGCGTGTGATCCCCCTGAGAAGATCACTGTAGTCAAAGACGTAGATTGATACTCATTATGAGACTTACCAGGAAAACTAGAATCAGCATATAAGCCTGAAATACTTTACAAATATTTATATTAAAAACACTTTAAAACCTTTGTCAGATAGGAGCTTCTGCTGTGTGGTAAACTTCCTGGAAATACAGCAAATGATGCATTAAAATATGCATGATATATTCTTCAAACAACATGTATTTTCTCTTTGACCAAAAGATAAAGTATTTGATGTTTCATGTTACTGATGCTGTTCTTTTGTTGATGCTATGATGTGTCATCAAGTTGCAACTGACTCCTAACTGACCATCCAGCACATTTTCAGAGGCTTTAAATAGCATGGGGGGGGGGAAATTACCCATCGTTCTCCCGAGGAGCGCTGGTGTATTCGAACCACCTGCTTTTGGATTGGTAGTGCAACACCTTAGCACTATGCCACCAGAACTCCCAGTAAGAAAGAAGAGTTACTAGTATTTTAAGCAAGTTGTAATTTATATTTTCTTGAAAAAGCTATTTTTAACCCTTGTTTCATATCCAACAGAACTCTGTTAATTCTGTTAATTTTGTAATGATGCTTCAGTTAACATAATTTGCATCTTAATGTATCTCATTGCCGGAATTAGGGATTTGTCGGTTTTGGTTTTGCTTGTAATACGTGGTTTTAAGCATGATTGCTTTAAGTTCCTGCTTGTGGCATGTGCTCTTTTTTTTTGCCTTGGATAGTACTGTCATTTAATGTGGTCACAAAATAGGAGTAAAGGATTTACAGACAAAACAAACCATTTATGCACTCCACCACTCTAAAACTATACTATCTAGTGACAAAAAGTTATTACACTTTCTGGATAAAGAAAGAAAATTGAGTAAAATGTCTAAAGCACTGACCATATATAAATATTGAAAGTGTCGATGCTCACAGGCTAGAGTGAATATAGTTATAAAAGAAAAAGTTTTAATAAAGTCTGAAAGAGACAACTATTTTTCTGTATCTTAAGAATTTAAATCACTGAAAATCCAAGTTTTCTTCTAAAGTTTTTACATACTAACTTGGTGAATACAACATGGTCACAAACAAGTATCCTAACATGTTCATCTTATGCATTGGGAACTGTACTGAGTCTTCACTGTTCTCTGGTAAACATTGCTATTATCTCTCTACTACTACTACTACCACCATGGTTAGCTGGGTGAGGATGTACTTGAATAAATGGATGGCAGAGTAAAAACAGGAAAAATTAAAAAACAAACAAACAAAAAAAACACACAACACTTGCCATCAAGGCAGAACTCCAGTAATGCTGGTTAAGAATCCAGGGAATTCCTTCCAGACTGTCCCGCAATTTCAGTTGCCATGGTTTGTGTACCACACTGACTGGTAGCACTGTTATTTTTGCACTGCAATGCGTTTTCTAAGTTTGGCTGCAGTTTCTTCTAGTCGCTCAATTTTCCACCACCATTGTCTCCTATTTGACTGAAGTGGCATGTGCTCTTACAGAAGAACCCTAGGAAGAAGTGTGGAGGTTTTCTATAAATGGTGATATAACATTGCCATTTCCATTGGCGGTGTTAGGCTTAAGCATAGCTTTCCCCTCAGTACTTTCTAAATTGTCCTGAAATGAGTTAATTGATCATTGGAATAAATAAGAAAACAGGCATTGCCCTCAAGACATGGGAGTGTAACGGAAAAATGTAGAAGCATCCATGACTGCAAATACTTGCTTGTAATCCCGAGGGCATGTCTAATGAAAAAATGTTAGCTAACAAGAGATTTAATTGATTAGATTTTTACCACCAAATTTTTACTGTTACCACTTACACTGCCTGTTACCTTGAAAAATGCATTTTCTTCTCATTTAAATATAGAAACTAATGGGGATAAGCTTAATTAAATTATCCATATGGTGATTTGCCTTTCATTTAAATTGTCTAAAAGCTTATTTTCATGATTATATTATCTCAACCAGTGAAATAGGCTCACAACATAAAGGAAATAATTTGTAATGAGATTATTTGGCATTTTTTTGCTAAAGCTGATACTGGCTATCATAATACCTAGTTGTAGGTATTAGCTTTGCTGAATATTTATTTCTGTTTAATACCAGTTTGTCTAGCATCGTTTTTGTAAATAAGATGTTCCACTTAAAAGTGAATTTTCTAGATGATTGATAATTAATCTTCCCTTATTGTATTTCTCTTTCTCTTATCACGTTAGAGTTGGAACCAACTCATAGCTGACCCTCCAGCAGGTTTTTAGATGCTGTAAAATCATGTGGGAAAGAGATTGCCCCTCATTCACACTAGTAGAAGCTGGTGGATTTGAACCACCTGCCTCTGGGTTACCAGTCTTAACTTCTTCTTATCCACTAGGGTAATAATATTTATTATTATAATTAGTGAAGATTTGATGTTTTCAGTATTAAAACATTTTAATTAGTATGCTATGTACTAAACTGAATACAATTTAACTCTTTTTATTATTCAAGGATCGTCAAAGACCCTAAAATTCTGTCAGTATAAGTCAGTAGATCTATTGAAACAGTTACCAGAAGTACTTAATGCTATTTATTTTAAAGAATGGTGGTGTTTGTTTTTGCTTTTGTTCTGTCTCTCTTTCCCCCTTTGTGTATCTTCATGTTTTTGTCCCACTGGAATGCTGTAGATTACAAAAGCAAGCACCTTATGCTTACTAGAAACGGAATATACTTAGTAGGCCCTCGAGGACCTTCTTCGTAATGAGTGTATGGACTTGAATAATAGCCATTGTAACTTACTCCGTATCTTATGTGCTTCCTCCCCTGTTGCTACACAAATGAATGGTTAGTATTTATTGTTCTCCATAAGAGATTCTCATGGCCAAATTTAAAATAATAATTAAGAGTCCAAACTATTTCTCCTCATGAAAAAACCAGACCTACTAGATTGATTGAGGCTAAGGGAATCCCCAAGTTAGTGACCCTGAGATATCCTTTAATGGTGGAATTGAAACTACTCCTGAAGGTCATCTTTCAGTTAAACAGTAGGTCGTTTAACAACGTTAAACAATTATCTCTGATTAGCAAATAGTTATCATTTAACATAAAGCAGGATGAGAAGGGTAAAGGAGAACAGGAAAGCTACAACAGATTGTGGAAAATGTAACTGAGGTGTAGAAATTGTTAAGTAGGAACCTAATTTGAACAGTTAGTGTAGAACATGTATAGAAGTTGTTAAATATTTCTATACTTACACAAAATATTATTTAAAGAAACAGTAGTAGGCTACTTCTTTTCAAGCCTTTTTTCTACACCACTTCCAATAACAAAGGATATATTTGATATAAATATTTCGTTGTGGTAAGATTCTCTACTTAAGATTGGCGCTAATGATGCAATCTATATGAAAGTCTGTAGTATTTGGTCTTCTGCTCCAGTGGCTTCAAGCCCTCCTCACTTTCAATAAGCAAGATTATGTCATCTGAGTAACGCATGTTGAGTCTTCCTCTCATCTTGATGCCACGTTCTTTTTCGTAACGTCCGGCTCCTTGAGTTATTTTTTTCAGCCTGTAGGTTGAATATGTATGGAGAAAGGATCCATCCACACCTTTTTTCATTTTAAACCTTGCAGTGTTCGTTCTCTTGTTCTCTTTGGACACTGTCTTGGTCTAGGTGTATGTCTTTTATAAATGTTCTGGGATTCCCATTTTCCTCAGTGTTCGCCATATTGATATGATCCACAGTTGAATGCCTTTGTGTATTCCATAAAACACAACTAAACATCTTGTTTGTTTTCTCCTGTTAGCCAAGATCCATCTGATGGCAGCAGTGATATTCCCTTATTCCATGTCCTCGTGTAAACCCGAACTGAGTATCTGGCAGTTCACTGTCAGTATACTATCTGACTGTTAACTTAAGCAAAATTTTTACTTACA